TTATGCTGGAACTCCATCATATTATGCTGGAGTTCCAGCATACTTATTCTGGAACTCCAGTATAATATGCTGGAGTTCAAGTATACTTATGCTGGAACTCCAGCATAATATACTGGAGATTTTCCGGGTTTTGAACAGTGTTTTCGCTCAGATTTATCTTTATATAAAAAGTGGCTAAATTTCGATTACTTTTGAAATTGGGCTATTTTTGAACGATCAGTTGTAAATCTGGCTATTTTTAAAATTTACCCCAGAAACGCATCGATGAAGCCCATATTCTACAGGGCCCAACATATTTTGTTCGTTTGGAACGTATTTTTTCTTACAAATCAAACAAACAGTGGAACGGAACCGAAGCCGGTGCGGGGAGTTTAGTTGCCGGCATTACATCGGAATCTCAAAAGCATAAGCAGCGGGTTACTACTTCCTATTAAGTGTAGATGGCGGTCTTTCTAGGAATTGTTTGTCCTCCTCCCTATACACTTCTCTCTATCGCCCGTTCCACCCGCCAATTTTCCTTCACCAATAACAAGTCAATCTTAATATCAAAGCAAGGGGTTTCTCAATTCAAACGCGTCCTCACAGCTTCTCTTCACTCTAGTAAGTATTTTTTTCTATAAATATAGACTATGGTTAATTTCAATAACTCCTTGAGCGTTTGTTTGATTACCGTAGTTATTTTTTTCTGCTGATCTTCCATAAAGAGAAGCAAACCGAGAAAATTTGTTTCACTGAAATTGAGCTTTAATTATAACTGAATTGTAGTAATAAGAATCCTCTCACTTGACAGTAATTTTTTTTCACGTTACAGGTACTGCAAGTTCTCAAACTGGAACTGAGGTATCTACACACAAATCTGAAATAATATTTATAGGAACAGGAACAAGTGAAGGAATTCCACGTGTGAGCTGCCTCACTAATCCCTTGAAGACATGCCCTGTAAGACTGCAAAAACTACTTTTTGCTTATGTAGCATCTTAGAGGGTTAAAAGTATTTGCTGAATTAAAATAAGTGGTTGATTTATATGAACTTCTTAATGTCCTATTACAGGTGTGCGCAAAAGCTAATGAACCGGGTAACAGAAATAGGAGACTGAACACCGGCATCCTTATTCGTCACACCAGGCCCTCTGGAAACTGTAACATCCTTATCGATGTTGGCAAGTATGTCAGAGAGACTTTAAAGTGCAATAGTTAGGAATGGTGATTGAGATCAATTTTGAATCATGATAGCTTGTAAATTCTTTAGTGTTTCAATGGTTTTTCCATTTTGAGATAATTCATAATTTTATTGTTCATGTTAAATTTGGAATTTAATCATGTTAGCACTTGAACTTTACGTCCTATGCTTTTCTAGGATTGTTTATCCTTTCAGAGATTTGTACATTAGTAGAAAGTATAAGAACTTCTAGTACTTCTTATTTTTACTCTACTATTAATTTTATTTTGTATAATCTTGGCATGAGATGAGTTTATATGGAGTAACATGGTTAGTAAGGATGCATATAGCAGGGCCCAACTTGTTTGGGACTGAGGCTTAGTTGTTGTTGTGGTTGATGTTTAATTTGGAGTGGAGGTAGTATTTTGAACTAAGTTGTTCAGTCAACTTGGTCAACCTTGATTCAACTACATGCTTACATAGCATCATCTTGTCTAACCCTAAAGTTATCCGGAAAAACAGATAAAATTGTGGGAAAAACAAAAATCTATTGGTTCTGAGTGTTGTTGTCTAAGAGCAGTTTCTCTTTGTGCAATCCAGGTTCTTCTACCATAGTGCTCTGAGATGGTTTCCTGCATATGGGTAAGTCTCTTGCACTTGGCCTCATCTATTACTTTGTGAATGTATGTGATGACTGATATTATCTGTGTTAAGTGGATAAACTTCATCAGCTACTAGTATGAAACAGCAAAAGAATCTTTTTGCATAAAGGGTTAAGGCTACATGCGTCAACCTCCTAGATTCCAGTCTTGGGTGACTCATTCTTCTGCTTTTTGTTAGGAGTACTTCATTTTGGACCTTGTTGGGAAAGTAGATAGGTAGGATCTTTATAGCAAAAGCTTCACCCTTAGAACCGACACATGTTATAGATAATTGTGATTATCTTGATGCTGCTCTGTGTCAGCTCAAGCTAAATCTTATTCTCCGTAATATAATATTTTTACAACAGGAAGTCCATTAATTTTGAAAGCGAATATGATCTAATCCAATCATAATAAGGGCATATTTGAGACCAAACCCAAACAGAGAGTAAATTTATTCTATCTTCTATTGAGGGACAAATATGAACCAATTCACTAATGATATGGGACCAAATTCAAGATAAAGGCAAATATACTCTATTTCCCGTAGTTGAAG